CTTTCGGTGTACTCGTCTTTCTGGGCGAAACTCTGCACGCTGGAGTCCTCGATGATGAACTTGACGCGCTGGTAGAAGGAGGCGGTGACAGCGGGCGGCTGCTTGCGCAGGAGCACCTCCACGGGGTCGCTGGACACCATGCACATCACGTGGTCGGTACAAGCATCCATAGAGCAGCACTCTGAGTCAGAGCAGTCGGTGAGGCCGTCTGTGGGAAGGAGGAACGAGTAGTGAGATGTCTGTGGGAAGGAGGAACGAGTAGTAGTGAGATGTCTGTGGGAAGGAGGAACGAGGAGTAATGAGATACGAGGCTCCAGGCGACTCTGAGGTCACACTATCTTGTACGTTTTAGTAGTTACACGAGAAAAGCAATGACCGTGGTGATCTATATGCAGTCTCTCTCTCTCTCTCTCTCTCTCTCTCTCTCTCTCTCTCTCTCTCTCTCTCTCTCTCTCTCTCTCTCGCACTTTGGAACTACAAACTAAAGTTTTCTAGAGGATAAATAATTAAAAAATTGTAACACTCAGATAATAAGCAGCAATAAAGTTAAATTCCCGTCTCAGACAGTACAGTTACAGGTACAGCTGCACCGTGAGAGAGAGAGAGAGAGAGATGCAGACATACAGAGAGAAAGAAAGAGAGAAGCAGGCAGGGAGTTAATATTCTTCTGAAGGCCCACAACCGTTGGCAGGATTGATGAAGCCTGCGGGTATATAACCCACCACACACGCACACACACACATAAAACACACACACACACACACACACACACACACACACACACACACACACACACACACACACACACACACTGTTAGGAAGTATTCAGTCATAGAGTTGTCAGGAAGTGGAACAGCCTAGAAAGTGACGTAGTGGAGGCAGGAACCATACATAGTTTAAGATGAGGTTCGATAAAGCTCATGGAGCAGGGGGGGAGAGGACCTAGTAGCAAACAGTGAAAAGGCGGGGCCAGGAGCTATGAATCGACCCCTGAAACCACAAATAGGTGAGTACACCTCCACCTCTATCTCCCCTTCCCAGCACCACCTCTCGTTCACTGAACCTCCACCTTCCCTTCCTTCTACCAGCACCTCCACCTCTCCTCCCCACTACTAGCACTTCCCCCTCTCCTCCCGGCCACCATAAACGCCTTCCCCTCCCCACCACCACCACCAGAACCTCCACGCATCATCTATTTCAACCTCAACGACACTACACCACCTATTTACCCATGATGACCCGCTCTTGCCCTCACACACCAAGTAATATCCGCTTTCCAGCCTCCTCACACAAGGCTCGTATTGCCCTGCCACCACCCCACCTTCTTTGCCTTACACCTCCACCCATCATAACACCTCGAGTGTCAGTGATGAAACAGCCAGTAAGTGACTTTCAATAAATGGAACGAGCAGGAAGAGACGATAAGAGAATAAAATGAAGGAGCCAGACAAGATAAATAAGGCTTTTATCCAACAGCAATTTGCGCTTTTTTTTAATTTATGGTAGGAATGTTTAGCGTTAAACCCGACAAGATTACGTAGTTGATAAATGTTGATAACATGAATGAGAATGATGTGTCATTAAGGGGAATAAAGCATTAAGAGTCTCATCCTCTCAAGGGAGGCTTCGTGACGCTAGGGTTCTTGATTCAAGGAACTGAACTTGACCTCCCCTTCCCTGTCTCTAATCTGATAGCCTTCCATTCCCCCCTCAAGCGGTGTATAACCAATACTGGTTTACCCCCCCCCCCCGTTATAATAATGGTATACAGTACCAATGTACTACACCTGTGTATCTTGATTTCGAAGACGTTCAAGTCATAACAGAACTTAATGAGTCAGTAGAAGATGAGGAAGTCAGTCCCTCAGACTAGGCGCTGAAACAGTAGACAGTTGGCGAAACGTCTTTAGAATAAAGATATGCGTGGGAGGGGCCGTGTGTGACTGGTGTCGTGGGTACGGGAGTATATTCTTGGGTAGCTTTCGGTGGCGGTGGTTTTGATAAAGACTTGCCTTGTATGGGCCAGTAGGCCTTCTGCAGTGTTCCTTCAGGTGTTGCACATACCTTCCTCCCACTGAACGTAATAACACCATCCACCGTCCCCCTTCTAGGGGGAGTACTTTGATGCTGGTGAGGGGGATCTCCAGCCTTGACATTGGACCCACCCTCACCTTTCTCGGATCAAAATTGCCTTCCATTCCTTAGGGGTTGTGTGGCCCTTACGGGTCTAAAGCACATCCACAATTATAATTATCTCTTAAATGTGAAATTCATTGATCGAGCTGTGTGGGATCACCTTTACTTCTGTCTCTAGCCGGCCTCAAGCACTTTACCGAGAAAACGTTTCGCCCATCAGGGACTGTTATCATCTGATAATGTTCCTGAGGCTCTTGGTTCACAGAGGCACTGTCAACAAGAAACCAAAATTTCTCTCATTTCCGGCTTATTCACAGTGACGCAGTTACCCATGTTATTTATAGAAAAAAAAATAAACCAAACGCACACACACACATACACTAAAAAAAAAAACAATGAAAACTAAGAGCCCGAAAAAACCCGTCAACACGTACTGTTAAACCAAGATGGAAAAAAAAACAGCATCAATTTATTCAGAGAGTAGATTTTTTTTCTTTGAAAGTTTTGTGTAACTGTGACACATAAACAGCAGGTAAGACACAAATAGTTTACTGTCGACAACAGATACATGGAGAGTTTACCTGGAGAGGTTTCCGGGGGTCAACGCCCCCGCGGCCCGGTCTGACACCAGGCGAAGCAAAAGAATAAAAAAAATTGTTACTGAGGAAAGCTTTTACTAGTTTTCGCTGTGTGTACGTGAGTTCATAAGAACAGAGGAACACTAAAGTAGGCCTACTGGCCCATACTAGGTAGGTCCTACGTAGAGTTTTATCAAGTAAATACATGATAAAGTTCTACACAGAACGACACGTTGTCACACACACACACACACACACACACACACACACAGAATCAACCCGAACCATGATCCTGCAGGAGAAAGCACGGCTGAGAGGCAAACAGGAGTTCACGAGTGTGTACCTCGATAGAGACAGAACACAGGAGGAAAGGATGATACTGAAAGAGAGAGTGCAAAAACGAAAGGAGGAATGGGAGGAAATGAAAAAGGAGAGCAGAATAACCCAGGAACAAGTGGAAGGACAAGCACACCCCCAGAAACACCTGCAGAAGGACTCCAGCCACGACACCCCCAAGGCAACTGAACAATCCAAACCAACCATCACACACCGACCCCTCTGTTCCCCCCCCCCTCCGCACTACAGTTACAGTATTAGAACAGAAGTTGAAGGTTTGGTACACAAATGCGGATGGATTAACGAATAAACATGAGGAACTGCAAGAAAGAATCAATGAGAAGTCCCCAGACATCATAGCAGTTACAGAAACAAAACTCACGGAGACAGTAACAGATGCAATCCTCCCACCAGGATACCAGATCATGAGGAAAGATAGAAGGGGAAGAGGGGGAGGAGGGGTTGCTTTGCTCGTAAAAAACAGATGGAAATTCGAGAAAATGGGAGGCATAGATGAGACGGGAGAAACAGACTACTTAGTAGGTACACTTCAGTCTGGGGAGCACAAGGTGGTCAATTGCAGTGATGTATAATCCACCTCAGACCTGCAGGAGGCCAAGAGAGGAATATGAAGAGAGCAACAGAGCAATGGTGGACACACTTGCTGAGGTGGCAAGAAGAGCTCACTCCAGCAGAGCAAAGTTGCTGGTTATGGGGGATTTCAACCACAGGGAGATTGACTGGGAAAACCTGGAGCCACATGGGGGTCCCAAAACATGGAGTGCCAAGATGTTGGATGTGGTGCTGGAAAACCTCATGCACCAACATGTTAAGGACACTACCAGAGTGAGAGGGGAGGATGAACCAGCAAGATTGGACCTTGTTCACCCTGGGCAGTTCAGACATTGAGGACATCACATATGAGAGTCCCCTAGGAGCTAGCGACCACGTGGTTCTGTGCTCTGAATACATAGTAGAGTTGCAAGTGGAGAGAGTAACAGGAGTTGAATGGGAAAAGCCTGACTATAAAAGAGGGGACTACATAGGGTTGACGAACTTCCTGCAGGAGGTTCCCTGGGACAGAGAACTGGCAGGAAAGCCAGTAAACGAAATGATGGAATATGTAACAACAAAATGCAAGGAGGAAGTGGAAAGGTTTATTCCGAAGGGCAACAGAAACAATGGGAAGACCAGAACGAGCCCCTGGTTTACCCGACGGTGTAAGGAGGCAAAAACAAAGTGCAACAGAGAATGGAAAAAGTACAGAAGGCAGAGAACACATGAAAATAAAGAGATCAGTCGCAGAGCCAGGAATGAGTATGCACAGGTAAGGAGGGAGGCCCAGCAACAGTATGAAAATAACATAGCATCGAAAATCAAGACTGACCCGAAACTGTTGTATAGCCACATCAGGAGGAAGACAACAGTCAAAGAACAGGTGATTAGATTGAGGACAGAAGGTGGAGAACTCGCAAGAAATGATCAGGAGGTATGTGAGGAGCTAAACAGGAGATTTAAGGAAGTTTTTACAGTAGAGACAGGAAGAACTTTGGGAAGACAGCACAGAAGGGAACATCAAGAGGGAATATACCAACAAGTGTTGTATGACATACGAACAACCGAGGAGGAGGTGCAGAAGCTGCTAAGTGACCTTGATACCTCAAAGGCGATGGGACCGGACATCTCCCCATGGGTCCTTAGAGAAGGAGCAGAGATGTTGTGCGTGCCCCTAACCATAATCTTCAACACATCCCTTGAACATTAAGGTGGTATACAATACCGACAGGATGTTAGGTAAGACACATATGCAACAGTTAGGTATCTTTATTTCGAAACGTTTCGCCTACACTGTAGGCTTCTTCAGTCAAGTACAGAAAAGTTGATAGAAGCAGAAGAGACTTGAAGACAATGTAATCAGTCCATTACCCTTAAAGTTTTGAGGTGGTCAGTCCCTCAGTCTGGAGAAGAGCATTGTTCCATTGTTTCAGACTTTGGAACAATGCTCTTCTTCAGACTGAAGGACTGACCACCTCAAAACTTTAAGGGTGATGGACTGATTACATCGTCTTCAAGTCTCTTCTGCTTCTATCAACTTTTCTGTACTCGACTGAAGAAGCCTACTGTGTAGGCGAAACGTTTCGAAATAAAGATACCTAAC